AGGGTCATTATGGGGCCATGGGTTTTGGCAAGCTCAGTCAGGGACTTGTGGGGTTCGTTACCAACATCCAAGAGGTTTCCTAAAATCGGAATCGGTCGTGGACCAGGTGGAAGTTTGCGAGAACTTCCACTTCTTCCAGTGACAACTGAACTGTAAACTTGAGCCAACACCCAGATCAAGATGAGACAGAGCAAGCAACTTGCCAAGAAGTCCATTTCTGATTCTCTACCGTTCCCCTATGAGAATTTGGATCCCCTTTCTGTTATAGATAGATTTTGCCATTTTTCGATGGTGAGTATATTTCCTTTTTTATCCTCGTGATCAGGAGATTTAGGACCCCACCCCGTGATTAACGAGTGCCACTGCCATCATTCAAATGGTCAAGATCTTCGATTTATCTGTAATTTCAACCCTTTATAATTTTTTCCTTAAACAGCTAATATGATATTTAAAAAGAATAATAGTAAATAAAATAAAATTTTGAAATTATTTAAAACATTTAAAAATAAATTTTATATTATTTAATAATTAATTCTTTTATTTTTTTAAATCTATAATATTTTATACATTAACTAATTTAATAACATAATACAAGCGACGTTATTGGTCTCAACATTTTTATCTTCCCTATAGTTTCTCATTTAAAAATATTTATTTATAAATTAATTTTAATTTATTAAATAATAAATATTACTTATTTTTATTCATTATTAATTAATTTTAATAATTAAATTAAGATAAAAATTTAACAATTCCTGATGCTCTTAACAAATTAAATCTTATATTTGAATTGGGAAAAGTAAAGGAGTGAAAAAGGGATGAGAGGAAAATTTTGCTCTTTCATTCTCTTCCTTTCCCTTCCCCTTATTTGAATACATAATTAAATTAAAAAATAAAATAAACATAATTTTTTCTCTTTCCTCTTCTCTAATTTTTAAAATAAATCAAATAAAAAAAATTTGCCTTCTCTTTCCTCTCTCATTTCTTTTCAATCCAAACATACTAAATTTAACTATAACCATAATCATGAATCACATGTTACATGTCCTAAATATAACCGTGGTCGTGAATCACTTTTTTATTTTTTTTGATAAACTAAGAATTTATTTTCTTGGATACAAGGTACTCCAATCCTTAAACAATCCATCACTTATAGTGCTATTACCTTTCCCTTCCAACAAAACATTACAAAAAATATTAGGATAGCACAACCCCTTCAATGATTAAATCTTAGTTTGCCTTCTTAGTGCCATTTTGGGGTTTTCCTTCCATAGATCTTGTTTCAAATCAAGAAATAAATTTGCCTTTACCCAGTAGAAAGACCTATACTTAATGAGCTCTCCAATATCCTCTTCCTTATCTTGTTCTTTCTGAAATACCTATTGTTGTGAATCACATTGTGTCCTTAAAAAGCAAATAAATTATTGTAGTGTGCAACATACACTCGGAGAGGGTAATTTTGCGACGTACTTCATGGCTTCGTTGGAACATAGTTTGTCACCTGGTACAGTTTTCTATAAGGCTCCACCATCAAGCATGGGAGTTTGGCAAAACATGCAGATTAGCTTTTCAATTTTTTGGATAGTGGCAGATTACCCCTTCAACTCAATTCATGCACAAAGTAACCCTTAAACTTGTTGTTACAACAAGCCCTTTTGTTATATATGATGTCATCATTCTATTTAGATTTAATATTGGCTCATTAGAAGGGGCTTGGTTGTGACCTAGAACTTAAAAATGCTTAGATGGATTCCCATGAACCTAATATTCAACTTAGAATCAGAATTAGTTTTCTCTTTACATTTTTTTATTTTTAGATAATTCAAAACTTAATAATTTGATACACTTGCGTTAAAATTAAGATTTTGAAATGGAATCGCCAATTGATGAAGATGTTACCGAATAGATACTTGAGTTCATCCTCCGAACAACTTCTAACGAAGGTTTTCAAAAGGAATTCCTACATATGATCGGAAGAGGCATTGATTTTAGAGGAAATTTTAGAAAGCTTTGAGATTATAGATGAAATGATTTGATTGCAAGGCTTAGCATTATGGATTTCATGAAGAAGGGATATTGTGCAGTGGCACTTGAGTGCACCGTTATGTATTTTGCTTCCAGTTCCAGCACGAATGCAAGTATCTCAAAGCCATTAAGAGAACACGGCAGCAGGGAAGAATGAGAAATCTAGAGAATTTAAAGATTAGCATTTTTTTTTTTTTTTTGGTAGAAGAAGATTAGCAATTTACTAATTAAGGAGTTGATTGATTGACTCGCGGGAGGAATTTTTTTTATTTTTTTTTGTTGTTGACAAGAGTAATGACTAAAAATAAAAAGTTAAAAATTAATATATTATTTTTTAATAAAATTAAATTATTGATCATAATATAATTTATCAACACTTTTTTTTAAATTACAGTGATCACCAATGTACCATAGCAAAAAATGCAACTTGCGGGAGGAAATTGTGAAAGTTGTTTGGGTTGAACATGTTTGTACAAGACTTAGAACTCTAGTAGCTAGTTAGAAAGTGAAACTGACACAGTTATAAATGTGAAACTAATGAGAAAGGCAGCTGGCCTAAGCCTAACCCAATCAATTCCCACACGACACGTCCCACACTATCCACTACCAACCCTACAAATTAAATCAATAATAAAAACAAGATAAGCCACCACCCACAGCTAACCGTACAAATCAAATCAATAATAAAAAGAAGATAAGCCCCCAATAGACAAACATGCCACGACTTTTGACATATCACGCCTGTACCATGTATGTATTTTTGTTCCATCAAACATGTCTTCGCTCGTAGTCCCCACCACATCCACACGGACCAGACAAATCTATACTGACCCAGGCTTGTCCTTGTAAGGTTCCCCGAATCTAAACGGAAATTAAATTAGATGTGTCTTCACCTTCAACTTTGTGGGTTCGGTGAAATTTATCTCCTTGTATTCTCGACCTTAGCTATGTAGGATTAGACTAAAATCATTTTTTATTTTTTGATTGAGATTAAAAAATCTCGACATAATTGGAAAGGACAGACTATATTTCGAGGCCTAATCTTTCGTTTAGAAAGATTTATATAATAATTGATTAATTTATTAATATCAAATAATTATTTATTCATATGATAATTATTCTTCTTTTTTACTTTTTTTTAATGAGAATTTTAATCAAAGTTGAGAAAATCCCTTCTTCTACTTTTTATCTTGTGAGTTGATTGACTGATTTGTAAATTGAAAGGGACTTAAAGGTTAATTTAGAGAATATGCTTGACTAATTTGATTCTTTTATTATTTAAGCTTATTTATGGGAGGTACATTTTATTTTCATTTCTTGAGTTTTCTAATCTATTCCTTTATCACACCTTTTTTTAATAAATATATAAAAAATAAAAAGTATTTTATAAAATAAATTGTATATTAAAAATACATTATATCTTATAATTTTATTTAAACTTTTAATAAAA